TGTGTGTGTGTGTGTGAGGGGAACAGGGTCACATCACAGGAGAGTGAACTGCCTGTCAGAAATCATAGCACATCAGCTGTCTTAACCGCGGCTTGTGTACTGCATCATCACTGTGTATGTCACGCGACTCTGTTGCCCTTTCGGGCTTGAACTGATGGTAAAACTAACGACATTATTAACTGTCTTGATATTTACTTTGAAAGCTTGAAGCTCGCGATTATGGTAAGGGGCGTTACATTTCCGACGCGTGCTTGTGGTGTTCGGCCAATCACAATGCACTGGGTCAGCTGGCCAATCAGAGCAGACTGCGCTTGTCAAAGGAGGGGGCTTTGTTGAAATCGACGTGTTTGAGAGAGGCGGGGCATAGAGGACCTACATTAATGTACAGTATTTGAAAAATAATGTGTTTTTTGAACATTAAAGCATGTCAACATATTCTGTTACACCAAATACACAAAATAATGATCTTTAAAATAGCATCATATGACCCCTTTAATATTTAAAGAGTGGTCACATTAGGCAAAAAAGTCAGTTGTCCATTGTCAATATTGAAGCCAATAGTGTAACCATGCAGCTTTCTGTTGGTCAACCCAGCAAATTTTGTGTGACCAGATTGCCAATTGCACGGACTCCTATTGAAATGACTCAATTTCAGTGGAGAAAAGTCGCTGAACAACGTTCAGTGTGACCATGCCATTAGAGTTTGAAATTTGTCACTCGTCTTCACTGTATTAATGGTGATGCTTTGGTAAAAGCACCATTAAAGGGGTCATGAACTGAGAAATCAAAATTCCCTTGATCTTTTGACATATAAGAGGTCATTGTACTATAAAAACGTCCTGCAAGTTTCAGAACTCAAACTTTCTCATTAGTCTAAAATCAGCCTATATTGAAGCCAATCTGCCAAAACGACAGGTTGTGGAATGTGCCGCTCTATGACATAAAAGTGTGGCTAAACACCGCCTCCGCGGAAGAAGATCAACGTCTGCTTCTACAGTACAACACTGCCTGTTTAGCTCCACCCACTGATTCGTGCGTGTAGTGTAAATAGCGAGAGAGGTAAATGCAGGTCTACACAGAAACCAAACAATAAAGATGGCTCCGAAGACAAGACGCTGTGCAGTGCCACACTCTTTGCATTCACTTCCTTCTGATCCCAACATTAGGAAAAAGATGGCTCCGAAGACAACAAGACGCTGTGCAGTGCCAAGATGTGGAAAAACAGTCTGCATTGCCTTCCTTCTAATCCCTACATTAGGAAAGAGTTGATGAACTTTATTTTTAATGAAGTTCCAGACCGCGTCAGTAAGAACTTGGTCCTTTGTTCACTTCATTTCACAGCGGATTCATTTACAAACAAGGCACAATTCGACACAGGATTTTCAGAAAGATTGAAACTAAAAGAAGATGCTGTGCCGACTATATTGGATTTGGATTTCACTATTGCTTTGTTTGTTATTACAGATCGTTTGATATGTACTGAGTATTTATGCATTTTTAACCTGAATCACAGCAGCATCCATCTGTGAAGGATGTAGGCTGTCAAACATACATAACTGTTAACCAATCATAGCAGTGGGCGTTTACTTCCGAGTCTACAATCCACCACACCTATTCAAACAGAGCGTTCCGATGAGGGGGGTCAAAACAGGACAGAAAAATAGCCTATTACTTCTAAATTCTGATGTTTTTTGATGTAAAACTTTTGATACCATTATAAGTGGACCTCAGAGAACAGTAAAAAAAAAAAGGCAATTCATGACCCTTTAATGATTCTTTAAAGGGGTCCTATTATGCTCTTTTACAAAGTCTTGATTTTGTTTTGGGGGTGTACTAGAACAAGCTCTCATACTAGGTTGTATTTTTCACATATTTTACATTATTACAACACCTCTCTCCCCAGTCTAGCATGAACGGCTCGAATAGTTCCTGAATCAAATGAAGGCCCGCCTTCTGAAATACGAAATGTGCTGTGATTGGTTAGCTGGGCCAGTGTGTGGTGTGATTGGCAGCGCCTGGTCGGGAAATATCATGCTCCTTACCATAGCCACCTGCGAGCTTCAGTGTAAATATTGCGTCAATATCAAATCAGTTTGAGCGCGATTTAAGCCCGGATGATTGTAACCACTCTAAGTTCGTCTGCCTTGGGAAGGCTAGCGTGTCTCCGACATAGTGATAACACTCATTGCCTTCTCTAGTGCAGCTCAACCAGGTCTCGTCCCATTCGTCGATATTTGTGATATCACAAATCCCGGAAAATATGCGTTGTAGTCCAAACGAGTCGTTCGTTGTAGTTTTTGAAAAGTGATTTCTGTTAAATAAAATATCTCCTTTTGAAGTGGACTTTGAACTTTGTAACTTTGCGGATCTTTTTTATGCTCAAACAGCAACATTACAGACTAACTAAAGTTGAAAAAGTGAAAAAGCATAATAGCACCCCTTTAAGAAAGTTGTATGGAGCGAGAGAACATGACTTCAAAATACTGAAAATCTTAGAAGACTTACATATAGCATTAAGAAAAAGGCCCATAGTAAAGGCCTGAGAGATGAAGAGAAGAAAGCAGAGAAGGATTAGAGTTGATGTGTTTTTATGAGGTGTAGTCTGTACCTTATGGAGCTCTAAACAGGCCCAGCTGTAGCGAGATCTTTTCTGGATCACACAGAACCCCATAGACACAGATCCACAGAATCATGTAGCTGTGTACACACTCTGAGTAAAACGACCCCCTGTAGATGTGCCTTCACATAAACAAACACACTCAGACTCATTTGAAGCCTAATTTGTTGTTTCATGGTTCATGTTGTTTCAAAATGAGTTTGGCACAAGTGTTCGCAAAGTGTTATGTTTATTATATAATGAAGTCCTATTCTGTTTTTCTGTAACTTTCATTATATGTTTATTATATAATGAAGTCCTATTCTGTTTTCTGTAACTTTCATTCTTCCTCTCTCTCTTGTCCAGATAACCGGATGATTAAAGTGAACGGGACACGGGAGCCTCTAGAATTTAAATCCCATCAGTGGTTTGGAGCCACAGTCAGGACCCACAAAGGCAAAGTGGTGGTAAGTTATGCTCAGAATCATAATCCAGTTAAAGACCCTTTACAGTCATCCTCATGCTGGATGCATGCTTCTGTGCGTTCGTGGATGCGGTGGGAAACTCTACTCTTTATCAGTAAGTAGCTGCCCATCAATGGGTTTAATGCTGTTTTAATAGCATTAGTCTTTCATTCATGAATACATGGGAGCCAGAATCAGAGTTTCATTCATGAATGCATGGGAGTGTTGTTTTGGAGAAATGTTTTGATAGGAAATGTGGCTCTATCCTGTTACTGAGGGGGGTTTGGAAAATGTTGATTTGAGGTTGACCATGCGAGGTGGAGAACTGCTGATGTTTGAAAGAATAAGCCCAGAGTTATTACATGAGGGAAGGCATGGTTCCCAAATGTGACTGTTGTTCTCCAAACAATCAAATACGGAAACATTTTGCTCTTTCAAATGCTTTTATTCAGAAAATTACGGAAGATGGGATTTTTTTTTTTCATCTCCAGCTCAGTCCTAAGGAGTGTCTTTTTGTTCGATCTACACCTATCAGTGCTGTTATTTACAGTAACATGGTGTTTGTGTGGTTCTGTAGGCTTGTGCGCCCCTCTATCACTGGAGGACCGTGAAGGTCAGCAGTGAGATGGATCCAGTGGGAACTTGTTATGTGGCTGTGCAGAACTTTAGTGCCTATGCTGAGTATTCACCGTGTCGAACCAGTGAGTATATCACACACACACACACACACACACACACACACACACACACGTATTCCTATCATTATGGGGACATTCCAAAGGCATAATGTTTTACTGTACAAACTGTATTTTCTATCCCCTTACACTACCTTCCCCACAAGGTCAAAATTTACTGGATTTACTATACTTCTACTATACTACCATACATTTGGTCCCCACAAGTGTAGTCTGGATGAATACTACACACACACACACACACACACACACAAACACAAACAGTGACATAGAACCAGTGAACATGCAGTTAACTTTAACTACTTGCAAATTTAAGTTTAAGCTTTATTAAAGTTCATACGGTTACATATAACTAGTTGACTTTTTTTTTCCGATGGCTAGCCGACGAGCAAAAATGAGTAGTCGTACCAGCTCTCCTTTACACACAGAATCACAGATTTTTCTGCTGCTTCTAGGGCTGCCCAGTTGTGCCAGTTGCCATGGCAATTATATGCCCTGCTGTAAACAAAGATCAAAGGAGAAACTCACATGTTTATTTTAATGTAATTTCCTGTACTTTAAAGTCTCATTCACAGTTATGGTAGTTGATAATTTACTCTAATTTCTTGCCGTCATATCAGATACACACATTCTCTTAGATTTACATAGCACGCACATACACGTACTGAGACAGTGTGTATTAACAGTTAGTGTAGAGTGAAGTGGTATATTAATAATAATAATTGTGCCTAATATGTTCTGAGGGGAAATTATTATATGACACATGAAGCCATAATGACTGTGAATTACTTTCCTCATTCTTTGTCAAACAATTTCAAATGCCAGCCGTCTCCCTGGCAGGTCAGCTAGGAGTCCCTGCCAAGACTCGGGGCAGAGATGTCCAGTGTTGATATAATCCAGCTTGTGTTCACTCAGCAGTGGACACACTCATGTATGCATGAATGCACACATTTGCAAAGACAGTAGTATTGAGAAAATGTGAGAAATGAAATACTAAGTGAAGTCTGGCAGAGGAGTGAAAGAAGAGAAACAGGGATGGAATGAGAGAGAGTGTTTATTGTATTTTTAGAGAACATGACAAGAACAGGGGTTGGGATTTGGAAGTGATGTTCCGCCTCATTAACCCTCCCCACCGACTGAACGACACATTATAGCAATTACACACAGGACATTGGTCCTGGAACTACATTCCTGTCCTCCAAGGCTTGGGGTTTGAGCATGGTTGTGTTTGGGATTAAATACAGGGATAGGACCATAGGTGCCACTAATCTTATTCGGGAATAATATGAAGTGTGAACTTGTGAAGTCTACATTTCATTGCATCACATCATCCATTTACATAAATATTTTACACATTTGTCTTTAGTGGCTTGCAATACTGAAGTTGCTCTGATATTTGTAGATAACCCGGACCCCGAGGGCCAGGGCTTCTGCCAGGCGGGCTTCAGCGTTGATTTCACTAAGGTAACAAATCTCCCTCCTAAACCCTGTCTGTGTGTTTCATCTTTATGATTACACACTCCTGTGTTATGTGTTGTCCTGCTTTTTGTTCAAAATCTCAAAACATTCAATTCCAGTTTTAAATTGAAGAATGACTTTTAGACCCTGCTTTATGTATCACTTTGACCCTTCATTTAGTCAGGAAGAGAGCTGATTCCTTTATGTTCATGCCTTATTTCTTTTATCTCTACTTATACTCACTCTTGTGTGTAAATTAATCAGTACTCTTGTCAGTTGCTTGTAAGTCTTTCTCCATAATCCTGTTCAAAATGTGCAAGCAAACCCACAGAAATAAACACAAACTCATTTTTGAGGCCTGTGTCCTCATTTCTATCTTCTCTCCCATTTCCTCACTTGTTGTTTCTCCATCTCTCAGGAAGGGACTCTGGTTGTGGGAGGGCCAGGGAGTTTCTACTGGCAAGGTAACACACTTATCCTCGTTATTTTGTCTTTTCCATCATTCCATCCTTTTACAGAGTCTCTCTGAGTGAGATTGGCAGACTCACAGTCTCACAGGACCCCAAGAATCTCAGTTCCATCCAACAAACTGACCAGGCTGACCCTTCCTCCACCTTCAGAGCAGAAAAACAGACACTCAGAATGATGACACGTCACCTCCCAATGAGTCCCGTTACCAAAATAATCAGGGATTATCTGTGTGTTAGCGCTACCATTGCTGAGTCAGTTCAGCCAATCAGAGCTCGCCATTCACTCCTCAGTGAAGTGTTCTGCCACAGGTCACTGATCACAGATGGGTCAGTGATAGCGGTAATATAGCAGTCGTGATAATACAAGACAGAGAGAGGTCAATGAGTTGCACTTTCTGGTCAGTGGCTTTAACGTTGGCTCACCGTTAGAGCTGTAATCATCGCTTTTAAACTCCAGTGAAAGCAGGTTAACCAACACCTGCACTTCCTCACTTTTAGCCTGAATTATACGTTCTGCACAATTGGCAATGAAATATATCTAAAGAGAATGCAGAAATCTGTACACCTGCGTATGTTTAGTGGTGTTTATGTTAGGGATAAATAAATCAGCAAGTGTTTGGCCATTTTGAGACTGTCTGCATCGACTCATCTGGCTAATTAACAAAACTGGCAGTTCCTCTTTGAGTTTAGTTGAAAATCTACTTAGCTTTATCAGTGCCTTTTTACAAATTTAAATTGATTGATAAATAATATAATTTAGTTATAATTACTGTAATTATAATATTTCTAAATTCAAATTTTTGTATTATGTTGCTCGTTATAGCGACTCATGCTAGCTCGATATTGGTATCAAAATCAACCATTGAAAAACACATTTCAATCAGCTAGTTATTATGAGTGTGAGATTGTATGTGGTGTATTGAGATTCACATGGTCATGGTAACCTGGAAACATAAGGGAATTTAAAAAAAAAAAGTTATGGAAATAAAAAAAAATCCAACAGTTCTGAAGACTTAAAATGTAACAAATTTCTATAGTTGATTATTTTTGTATGTTTATGTTCTGCTCTAATATACTTAATTAGCCATAAACTGCCTTTTGGAAGTGCAGCATCTTTAAAAATTGTATAAATTATTTTTATAATTAGTGTTTATTCCACCATCTTGAATGACTGAAGAAGCGACAGAAATGCATGTGTCAAATCCAAAAGGCATGAGAAATCTTCATGAATACATCTAACTGTATTGCTTGAAGTGAAAGAGGACATTGCACCTCCTAAAAATGACCAAATGAGGCACAGCTAAATATTTTGTGGCTGGATGTATATGTGATTGTTTATGTGCATGGATTTGGATCATAATGCTAGATGTTGATTGTTGTGTAATTGCAGTCGTATGTTAAGAGATGAAAACAGATTTGTTCAATCTTCAGACCCCACACAGCCTGAACTCAGAGTCACAGCCCTTAATAAATACTGATAATACTGGGTTCCACGTCACGTCTCACATGTGTTCTTGGTTTTTGCTTGTAATGGAGAGACAGATGACTTGAGAAGACACAGAAATCTAATGTCAGAAACAGGGTCTCACTCTCTCTGTCATATACTTCATGCAGTGGACAAATACAGATGCATTAGAAGTTATGACCTACCTCTCGTTTTCGCTCCTCTCCTCTTTTCCCACACTCAGTCCAACTTAACCTTTGCCTTTCATAATTTTTTGGAGGAAAAGACAACAGCTTTCTGTGAGGGGAAAAAGTACCACATGTTGCGTCGTGTGTGTGTCCACAAAACAAATGCAAATGAATAGACAGACACACAGCTAAACACACACAGTAAGAGAGATTAATGGTTGGGGTTCAGGTCAGGCTGTAGCCTGGTAGTAAAAGAGAGTAATGTTTTTATTGAACTTGAATAACAAAAATGGAGGACATTCCTCCCACTCTCTTTCACATTCTTTCCTTCATCATTTCAGATCTTAATATGAGAACTTGCATCTGTGTTATTTTCCTCAGTGCTTGTGTAATGTAGAATGACAAATCTGAATGTGGGCAGTTTTTGACCGTTTTGGAAAGAAGTTGTTAATGTTTTCATTTTGGTGTCTTTCTGCCTGTTCAGAATTAAGCTTCCATCCTTGGTTCAAATCATCAATTAATGGGTCATTCTACAATAGCAGTGATATTTCCTGCTGGAAAATATTTCAAACATGAAGCTTATCAATCCTATATTATACCTATGCTACATTTTATTTTTTTTTTTCTTAAATTATTTCAGAGTCACAATAATTAATCTTAGAGAGATATAATAAATTAGAACGATATTACAAAAAAGATATCATTGATCTTAATATAATTTTATTACTATTGTAACTGAATATAATTATTTAACTAATCATTTTTAAATGTTAAAAACATACAAAGGAAATGGCATAAAAGATTCTAAGAGGAAAACAATATTTTTCTTTTAGAATATATATATATATATATATATATGCGTCCTGTATATATATGCGGAAAAACAACTTTATTGCTGTTTTTATTCCTAATATTTTATTGCATATGATTTCTATAGGAATTGTGTACTTTACAGTTTGTTTTGCCGTCTGAAAATACGTAACGACATCTGCCACCACAATTGTACAATGTCTGTGATGCACATCAACACACACTGATACAAAATCAGTAGGCCTATGTGGAAACTAATGTGTATTTGTGTGTGTTTAGGTCAAGTGATCACTGCAGGAGTTGCAGAAATATTGAACGGCTATTCTCTGAAAACTATTCTGCGTAAAGTTCAGGGAGAGAAGCAGACTGTGGCTGCATCAGACACATATGATGACAGTTACCTAGGTAAGAGACGTGTGTGTGTTTGCCTTTGAAAGGTAAAGATGCTTTATGGGACACCAGCGATTTTCTTTGGGGGCCCTGTTTATGGGTCAGAGGACCAGCCCTCAGTCAATTTAATAAACACACACACAAGCTTTTTTTGGTGGATGTTGCGGTAACCTCGACTCTATGCTCAGTTTGCTCAGTTTGGTGCAGAGTTTGTGCCTACTGATAACATTTCCATCTGGAACTGCAGACCTCAAAACACACATACACACACACAAATATTCCATAAATACACACTTGTATATCCTATGAGCATTTTCCCTTGTATGCTGTAATAATCATAACAGCTGGTCTGTCATTATAATAATGCAATTGATCATAAAATGACGAGATAAAACCAACATGAGTAAACATCATTTTTAAACTGACCCACTATGGTTAGCTGCATCAACTATTCCGATAACTGTATTCGCAGTTATTTTCTAATGTTCTCTTTCTGTGTCTGGTAGGTTACTCTGTAGCGGTCGGAGAGTTCACAGGTGATTCGGAACAAGGTAAGAACTTTTAAACCTTTTATATATGTGAGCGATACACCCAAAAAAAGATCAGTCTATAATCATTTACTCACCCTCATGTCATTCCAAACCTGCATGACACAAAAGAAGATATTTTGAAAAATGTCTAAATGGGCTCCAGTGTTGTTTAGAACTGTATGTGTGAACAAATTCATCCAAATATCTTCTTTTCCAATTTGTCACATGTTGTAATGTAGCAGACCTCTATCTCAGACACATAAACAAAGCTTTGCATCTTTTGTAGAGTTTTGTGTATGAATGTGAGTGCATGAGAGAGAGAGAGAGAGAGAGAGAGAGAGAGAGCTCTGTCTCTGTGTGTGGATTTGTTACTTACTGAGCTTTGATCGGACCCTTCAGCCTCATACCATAATTACAGAGTACTCACAGGATTCTGTCCCTGACATGCCACCCAGTGACAAACAGCCCATCTGCAGTCTGTCATCCCTCTCTAACACACGTGTGCGCCCACATCGACTCATAAGCAATCATTAGCATACCTATCCATCAGACAGTACCGTTCACAAAACCTTGCATCTTATTTACCAACTGCCTACAATTCAGCTTTAACAGACTAAAATAAATCTTGTGTGAATTATTATGCCATATAATAGAGTGCACCTGATGGAAAAGTACACATTTTAATTTTAAAAATATGTTTGTTTACAATTTCTACATTGTAAAAAGGCCAGTTAATGTTAAGGTGGAAATTCACTGTAAAATACTGTGACAGTGTTTCCAATATTGCGGGATGGTATATTGGTGACTGTATATTTCATTAAGTGATATAATGTTATATCTGTTACTGATACAGGTGCCACAATAGAAAACCACATAATGAGTCAGAGTTCATTGCAAGTGGCCTGTCCATAAAACATGGCCATACTTGCTTTTAAATGATACTTTCATATTTGCACAGGGTGATAAAACACCATCATGGTAACACATATGACACTAAAATAATGCAATAAACATTAACTAAATAATGCAGTAATTATCAGCTACATATCATATTATCACCCAGCTCTAATCTGCTAAATGTGACTATAAGGCATTGCAATATTAAGATATTATAAACATTAACATCATGATTTTATGTAAAGCTGCTTATGTACAATGTACAAATAAGAAGAAACAAAACTATTTAAATAAAATATAATCATGTGATTTGTCTGACAGGGACTTCTGTCCTTTTACTGTTTTTCACCGTAAATTGTATGGTACTGTAATTTAAAGATTTTACTTCCAAATTTTACTTCCAAACAGCATTTTACTGTAAAATTACATATAATTCCATGTTAATAGGAAACAATTTTTCCCTGTATTTGGTAATGTATTAACAGGTTTTGCAGAATTTTTTGTCTTTTTCTGTAAAAATGACATGAGTAATTCATCATATGGTGATCATGAAGTATGGCAGATTGCAGTAGTCTGCAGTGTCATCCACAAGTTAGCACTCAAAACTGACCTGCAAAATGGGGAATGGCGAAAAATTGTGTTCAACACCATTTTGAGGGGTATATGTGCTCTTTTACTTGATTTGCACAATTCCTTTAGCGAATCAGACTTTAAAACAATGCATACAGCATGCACAAATAATCAACGTTATCGGCAGTTTCAGTTCATTCTTCCCAGAATTTTCTCTCTGTCTTTCTCAGACATATGTTCTATCTGGTCTGGATTAGTGGTGAATCCAGAGAGGAGAGACATGCTGATCTCTTTTTGTCAGAATTTCATAAATGGGCTTTTGCTGTGGCGCACTTTGCGGTCAAGGAAGGCGGGAAATTTGAGGTGGTGGGGGGAAGGGTCAAGGACGAGCCGGCTGTGATGGGTCCCTGAGAGTCTGGGAGATTTCGAGTTAGAAACGAGGCAGACTTTTGAACGGTCCCTCTCCGATCTCAGTGGGTGGGACAGATCTGACAGACAGCCACAAACTCTCCCACCACATGACTATCTCCAAGATCATCCATCAGACCTCAGACAGCCTCTGTCTCCTCCACTATGTGTCTTTCTCCTCTCTGTCTCTCTCTTCTAAATATTTATAATAAATGAGTGACTGGCATGGTGTTGACAGAAAAGAGATTAACAACACTCACACGTCTCACCTCACTGTTTTGCCTGAGATGCACTAGATAAGTGGTTGTCAGTGTGGAAACGTTCACTCATACATACTCTTCTCAAAACAAGAAAAGTGTATGTTTTATTATTGTTGAGTACTGAAGCACATCATTTGTTTCTTCAAACTCTGCAAGTCTAAAATATATAAACCAGCTGGCACATATGTAAATATCTCAGGTATGTTTACTGTATGCCTTTCTTATGTCCTCTATGCAGAACTGGTAGCAGGGGTACCTCGAGGGGCGCACAACTTTGGTTATGTAAGTATACAGTCCTAAACAGAATTTGTTTCCTGTGTTTCTGTCATGGTAAGATATGGAATCAAAGGTCAGTAGTAAAGGTCAAGGGGGAAGGAAGAATGTGAGAAACATTTGAGAGGTTAGCCCACTTTTGTACTAAAACTGAAACATTTGTTTATTCAAATAAACAAAGAAAGGCTGTATGTTTTGCAAAGACTCTTATTCTGGTTAAAGTAAAACCTCTAAGTCACTGGTGGAAGTGGATGCGAGTTTCTCATCTGGATGTGATTTGCAGTCTTAAGAAGGAATTCCCAATTAGGGCTGTAGCATCTAGGACGCAGGGGTGTCCCCTTTGGTCCTCAATTAAACAGAATCATATTCAGCTGGATGGGTGGTTTGTGAAGCAGACAGTGAATTTGGGTCTTTTTTTACTGCATGTTATATTCTTGGGTATTAGCCATATGTGGCTGTTTGATTTAGGATCTCAGTCATACGTGTCCCATAAAACATCCACTAAGATTATTCTGGATGTAATTATTAGAGTGCTAAATGCCTAACATGAGGAAAATCACTCTGGTTTGGAGTAGAGGACAGGCATGTGGTCAAATACACAAGTCCTGCAGTACATCAGAATCATGACAGTCTGTCATGAATGGAAACAGTGTTTCATGAGCACTAATATAATCGGGCGTTTCTCTTTTTGTAGGTGGCTGTGATCAACGCAACAAACCTGACATTTATTCAGAATTTTACTGGGGAGCAGGTGAGTGACTGTCCAACCTTTGGAGTGTCTGGTTTTTGTTTTGTTTTTAAATTTTTTTAAAACATGTTATTTGTTCACTATGAATTAATTGCGGGAGTTGTGGGTCAGTTCTGAGTTCTAAGTTGTGGAGAATGCAGCAGACAGCCACATTCTGATTGATTGCTCCTCCATTGTAAGCCAGAAAGCTAAAATTAGGGTGTGAAAGTGTGTAGTGTGACTGCACTGCACATTTGGGTACATGTGAACATTTGATGAATTAAATGCTGCCATAATCAATAGAAATTGTACACAAACATCTCTTTTAAATGATTATTGTTGTTTTTTGGAGTTTTGCCTTCCACAGCCAAAAAAAGCACAATGTTTTTTAATTTATATATTTACGGTACGTCTTGACTAAATTGGACTAAAGGAAGTTTTTGAATGAGACATGAGATCTTTTTAACTGCATTCTAATGCAGCAGAAGATATTTGTCTTAGCAGTGTGTCCTATTTCTCTCCTTCGTCTCACATTTCTATTTCACATATGATTTTTTCTCGCAGATGGCCTCTTATTTTGGATACACTGTTGCAGTGACTGATCTAAATGGAGATGGGTAAGTCAACATGGAAATGAATGTCCAATTACATGTAAGGTCGCAAAATGGTTGTTCCATGCAAGATGTGGTGGTAAATGAGTAAGTCTGGCTACATTAAGTTCATTCTTATGAAATGTAAGTTTATCCCCATGAAGCAACTCAAAAATAACATTTTATAGTCGTAGTACTTAGGTGTTCCTCACGGTCTGCCTGCATTGAAACAAGACTTTCTTAGCTGTCTGTATTATTTGTTTTGAGCTAATTTATTTTACTACCTCATGCTGTATTTAGTTACATGGTGTATTCAGAACTAAATAGGACCATATAAATTATATGAATAGGACCATGAGGTTTTATATGGGTTTTGGCTTATTCAGACTCATGCTTTAAGCTCTGGTTTACTTGACCCTTGTTTAAATGCTCACATCGTCTAGGGGGGAATTTGATATGCATAAAATTGGTTTCTAATTTGGTCTTATGAGGATACAAAACTTTGCTGACACATCAGCGCCAAAGCTCCTTCTCTTATGTCTGAAATGCTGACATGTGTTTATGCCATTAACTGAAAGGCTTACTTACCAATGGTACATGGTTGAATACACTGTAAAACAGCAGTACACACAAAGAAAGAGCAGTTAAATGATACACCAGCAATGACCAACGTACAGAGCTCCTTACACTTATAGCTGTTGAAATGGCTCATTTGCTGGAAACAGGGCCAATCAGTCTTTAGTGTTGAAATCAATGTATCGTTTTTGTTATTTTTTGGCTGCTAAATGCTGAAATGTATAAATCACAGTGATTTATTTTTAGATATCAAATAACATAACTTGGTTATATCTGTTATCTTAGATCTAATAAGTCTGAGAAGTACAAATGTGAATTTTTCTACAATGTTTCATTCCATTTTATCATGGAATCCCGACACCATCTTTGTTGGTTTTAGTCCAGGTTATTCTCAGAATGCCCCGTTCCGAACTGTAAGAACATTTTGGTATTCCTCCATCGGTCCTCATACAGTCCAAAACACACTCCTAAATTCATATCTCCAAGCAAAACGTCTCTGTTTTGTATTATCAGCATTTATAAGATTTATACTTTATCCCCTGCTATGATACTGTCATGCGCTGGCTCGTCTTTGTCTTCTCTGATGGCTCATATTTTACAATGGTTCATTGGTGCACTTCCTTGCAAATATTGCTGTCTTGTAACCTCAAGGGTGACGTCTTGTATGATTCTTTGACTTCAAACATGCACTATAAAGCTGCAGGTCTTTATTCGGTTGTTAACCATCCATTCAGTTTCCAAGTAAAGCATCTTCAAAACAAATACATGTACAATTTATGTTACTTATGGGCCTCTAAAAATTCAAAACTTAGAGGTGTTTGTATCAAATTTGTTAATTTCTGTGCACACACAGTCTAGATGACATGCTAGTTGGAGCTCCACTCTACATGGACCGTGAGTTTGAGAGTAAACCGCGTGAGGTGGGCCGTGTGTACTTGTACTTGCAAGAGGACGTGCTTCTCTTCTCCCCTTCCATCACTCTCACTGGAATGCACCTGTTCGGCCGGTATGGAAGTGCCATCGCCCCTCTCGGAGATATCAACCAGGATGGCTACCTTGGTAAGTGTTCGTGTTAATTTGCTTTTAGGGTGTTGTGTTGCTTGATTCAAGAGTTTTTCAGTGAGACAGAGGTTACATATACACCCATTTCCTACTTGTCTTTTTTGTGTAGGATATCCTGTCTCTCTATCACACACTTAAAATGTACTGTTCTAGCCAGCCGGGAAGGGTAAAATTAGTGATTTGTTGCCCTTGTCTGCATTTTCCTGTGAAGAGTTGGGTGTGAACCACTCTGTTCTGTGTGTGTTTTGTTGAGTCTGCGGATGGAGGTCACGTGGTTTATATTCCTGTTGCTATTCAACCACTAGTATTGCAAAATAAATAAATAATGTTAAACAAAAAACTTATATGATTGAAAAATCTGCAATAAATCATATTTAAATAAATTAATAGTTTAGAAATTAATATTAAATACTGTAATAAATGTAAAAATAAATAAATTTAATAAATTAAAAATTATAAATGTAAATTCACCCCCCATAAAATTTATGATTTAAAATAGGCTTGCTGCGATAGACTGTGTTTTCGGTTATACCGGTGTTAAGCCGCAACACCGGTTACGTCATTTGTCTACCGCGGCACCGCCCCCCACCGTCGTTTTGATTTTTTTATAGTAACAAAAATCATTTAGCCTAGTTCAGTTAGAGGACAGACACGTTTAAAAACTAAACCTTGCTGCGATAGACTGTGTTTTCGGTTATACCGGTGTTAAGCCACAACACTGGTTACGTCATTTGCCTACCGCGGCACTGGCCCCCACCATCGTTTTGATTTATTTATAGTAACAAAAATCATTTAGCCTAGTTCAGTTAGAGGACAGACACTTTTAAAAACTAAACGCTCAATGCAGCGTGCCGAACCGTGCGCGAACGACAGTGCACCACGGAGCAGGAGTCAGATTTT